GAATGACGTAAGTCTTCAAATTTTTATGTGGGCTTTCATCTCCCTTACCATCAAAAGGCACCCTCCCAAGGAAACACATCGCACCACATTCTCTGCTGCTTGTGGGAGGCTGATTTCATAATCTGCTAGAAAACAACGCAGCAGTTGACTTAGGCTTAGTGTATGCCAAGATTCTAGCTCTGACCAATCTCAGTTCGAAGGGCATTAGGCGACTTAGTGGAGCTTCAAGTTAGGCAATGGACTGCTCCCTAAGATCAGTGGTTCAAGTCCCATGTACTGCTCCAAGGGAGAAAGAGGCTGGCTCCTCCTGTAAAAATCTGCAGTCTTGGAAAGCTTCTACTTCAGAGGGTCGCTGTGAGTTGGAATCAATTGGATGACAGTAGATGTGTGTGTGTTTGTGGTGAGGTGACTAGAGGGAGGTCTAGAGAGACTGCTGTTTCCCTTTTGCAGAATCCAGTGCATATGGGCTTTAAATCAAACCACACCAAGCCCATTGCCATCCAGTGGGTTCCAGCTCATCATGGACAACTCAGAGGACAGAGTAGAACTGCCTTACGGAGTTCCCAAGACTAATTGTTGTGGAAGCCCACTGCACACCCTTCTGTGGAATAGCTGATGAGTTCAAACCACTGGCCCTTCGGTAGCACCCAAATACTTCATCACGGTGCCACCAGGCTCCTGTGTAGACCACACGCCCTAGTCCACCCTGCAAAACAACCACACCATTGCCTTCAAGTGGCTTCTGACTCCTAAGATTCTGTAGGACGGAGTAGACTGCCTCATAGGCTTTCCAAGGCTGCGCGTCTTTACAGAAGCAGACTGCCTCGTGTGTCTTTCAAACCGTTGACCTTCTGGGAAGCAGCCAAGCTCTTAACTACCGGGGCTCTTTAACCGCTGCTGAGGGCAATGCTGGCCTGGTGCTTCCTAGCCCCCAGCTGAGGCCATCTTGTGAGATGGCTTGGCCTTCTGGGTGCTGCAGGAAGCCCACTCCCAGGCTGCCCGTGGTGTCTTATGAATACTTGTGTCCACTGTGGTCGTTTTGAAGGGTAACCCAGCAGGCCTCCGCTGGTTTCCTCTTGAGGGGACCACCCCATTCATCACGTGTTCTCCTGGAGGTGGCTTTCAGTCGGGAGCTCAGTGAAAAGGACTTTGTTTTCACTTCCCTGCGTTCTGCAAGTTCAAACAGGATCGTTGCTCACTGGCTGCGTGTGCCCATCAGCCAGTAGAAAGCAAGCAAACTTAAGTCCTTGGTCTTAGTTCAGCTCTTGGGGTTTGCCCGGTGCTTGTGTTGATAAGAGACATGAAACAGAACAGGAGTTCAGCTCAAGATCCCTGGACAGACGCCGTGTCATGAGGTGTGGCAACACGGAAGTATCTCCAAAGAATAGCCACAGTCGGCAGGGCGCAGAGGTCAGTTTCATGGGTATGTGTGCATGTAAAGACCTCCTCAAGGGGCAGCCGGAGGGGGGGAGCAATGAGGAGCTGATACCAAGGGCTCAAGTAGAAAGCAAATGTTTTGAGAATGATGAGGGCAACATGTATAAGTGTGCTTGACGCAAT